ACTAAAATTTTCGATAAAAAATCAGTACTCAGGAACAGAATAGTTCTGATGGGAGTTCTGAGTAGCGCTCGACGAGTTCTTCAAAATATTCTTATTCTGTTTTAGTGACCAATCGATACTTCTTCATTCATCAGCTGTCATAAGGTGCTGACCTCAAAAAACTAGCATTTTCGATAAAAAATTCATTCCGTAAAACAGAACATTTCTGATGGGAGTTCTGAGTAGCGCTCGACGAGTTCTTCAAAATATTCTCATGGTGTTTCAGCGAGGGGTAAATCTCCAGGAAAAATGTGTACACCAGACTTCCAATGACCAGAGACTTCCAAAGACTTCCAAAGAGTTCCAAAGACTCCCAAAGACTTTCAAAGACTCCCAAGGACTCCCAAAGACATCCAAAGACTTCCAAAGATATCAAAAGACATCCAAAGACATCCAAAGACATCCAAAGACATCCAAAGACATCTAAAAACATCCAAAGACTTCCAAAGACATCCAAAGAATTCCAAAGACTTCCAACGGAGTGTACACCAGACTTCCAAGGAGATTTACCCCTCGTGTTTCAGTGACAAATCGATACTTTTTCTTTCATCAGCTGTCATAAGGTGCACATCTCAAAAAACTAAAATTTTCGATAAAAAATCAGTACTCAGGAACAGAATAGTTCTGATGGGAGTTCTGAGTAGCGCTCGACGAGTTCTTCAAAATATTCTTATTCTGTTTTAGTGACCAATCGATACTTCTTCATTCATCAGCTGTCATAAGGTGCTGACCTCAAAAAACTAGCATTTTCGATAAAAAATTCATTCCGTAAAACAGAACATTTCTGATGGGAGTTCTGAGTAGCGCTCGACGAGTTCTTCAAAATATTCTCATGGTGTTTCAGTGACAAATCGATACTTTTTCTTTCATCAGCTGTCATAAGGTGCACATCTCAAAAAACTAAAATTTTCGATAAAAAATCAGTACTCAGGAACAGAATAGTTCTGATGGGAGTTCTGAGTAGCGCTCGATGAGTTCTTTGAAATATCCAAATGGTTCTTTTTCTTTCATCAGCTATAAAAAAAAAAAAAAAATTTTCGATAAAAAATCAGTACCCAGGTATTTCTGTTTTTTTCGTAGTCGGTACCTTATAATGAAGCTGGTTAATTAATGGAAATGGTTTTGATTTTTCTGTTTCATTTTCTCCTACGAATTTTATATCGAAAATTATAGTTTTTCAAGGTCGACTCCTTATCACTGCCGAAAAATAGAAAAGTTGAAGTTGAATTTTCTCTGGAACATGATGAAAAAATATTTCGAAGAACTCGTCGAGCGCTACTCAGAACTCTCATCAGAACTATTTTGTTCTTGAGTATCAATTTTTCATCGAAAATGTTAGTTTTTTGAGGTATGCACCTTATGACAGCTGATGAAAGAAAAAGTATCGATTTGGCACTGAAATACCATTTGAATATTTTAAAGAACTCATCGAGCGCTACTCAGAACTCCCATCAGAACTATTTTGTTCCTGAGTACTGATTTTTTATCGAAAATGTTAGTTTTTTAAGATGTGCACCTTATGACAGCTGATAAAAGAAAAAGTATCGATTTGTCACTAAAACACCATTTGAATATTTTGAAGAACTCGTCGAGCGCTACTCAGAACTCCCATCAGAACTGTCCTGTTCTTTGGAATACATTTTTCACCTTATGACAGCTGATTTTTTTCCTCGTTTTTTTCAGATTTCATATTTCCTAATGATCCTCCTCCTTTTTCCTCGATAGCTTTTTCTTCAATACGAAACAGAACGGAATAGTATTTCACCAAGAAATGCTGGCTATAGAAACACATTTTTCGAACTAGCGATGAAATAGGTGTAGAACTCCAGAACTCTTTATAATACAACAAAAAAATATATCAGAACTCATTTTCTCGAAAAAAACGGCGCTGCGTGAAGTTAGCGCTCAAAATTTATTTTTTCCAACGACACCTACGATTTGCTGGAACTATTCAAAATTTCAGTCAGGAACTCTAGAACTCTATCAAATCTACTCAGAACTAAAAAAAAATTGAGTTTTTCGAAAAAAAACGGCGCCAACTTCACATGAGTCCTGCACATTCCTCATTCCATAAATGAACCCATATCTCGAGATCTTCACCATCATTTATATTTTTTCTACAAACGTCAAAAAATCACAAGGTTCGCGCATTGATAACAAATTGCAAAGTCACACTTTTTTTCAATTTCCTACGATACCGTGATACCTTGTACAAAACAATGTGCGAAGTATAACCGAGTAAAGCAGTGCGAAAAGTATATAACTACTTCGCGCATTGTTATATGTAAAATACATGAGATATTTATATTTCAACTTTATGGTCCTCAATCGAGCAAAAATCCACGAAATCATTCGTTCCTGATGGATGTTCAACAATAACTTTATTTTATCTCTTGCAGCGCAGGAAAGGAAATTCCTATTATGTTCGTGGAACATCGTGCGTACCTAGGGAAGATAGGGGGAGGCCTTTTAAGCCGGTTCAACACTCGGTTCAACACTATTTTTTACTCGATTTTTTATATCAAGCTAAGCTTGTTTTAACTTTAGAACTATATTTTTTGACTTTTGTAGAAAACATTTTGTTTGCAACTCGAGCGCGAAATACTTTGGTCATCTTGACTATTTTTTTATCTCGGCTACGCCTCGTTAAAAAAATCAGATCTCGACCACCAAAGTAGCATTTCGCGCTCTAGATACAAAAATAACTATTTTCCACGAGTATGGAACCTACCATTATCAACTCCTTTTCGAAGCGTAAAATGTGTTTTTATTACCAAGGTAGTTTTCGTCAGTTTATGAACCACTAGTCAATAAAGACATAGCAACCATCGTAGCAACCTATGTTTTAATCAAGGTTATACACTCAAAGAAATAGTCGGTAGTAAAAACCCGAGAAAAACCAAACGTTTAGTAAAATAGGCGCCGCTAGTCACTACATTCATCAAATAATACCACTACAAAATTGTATCATACCAAACTATAAGTATCATACTATTTCGTAGTGGTAATATTTGATATACCGAGTATAGTATTATACGAGGTATTATATAATGTCGTAGTGGTATCATTAGATGGATGTTGTGACTGGCACCTATTTTACTAAACGTTTGGCGAGACGTTTGGTAATTACTATACCAACTATTTTTTTCAGTGTAATGAACCCAAATTCATTGTTCTGATGCGAGATTCGTAGAAATGACACTCGAATCTAGTAGGTATTCACTCGGGTATTCATCAATAACCACTTTTGTCATATGCAGTCATGGTCGTGGCTACTAGATTTTAATTAGAATTGGAAAATAGTGCTTTCATCGAGGCTTTCATAGTGATAATAATGTTCATATTTCAGTTTCACAGATAGAATATGATTGGAATGTATTGCTAATGGTAAAAATAATTCAATATACACCTTGGTAGTTAAGACTATTACTCGGAATATTACTCGAAATATTACTATACTACAGGACTCGCCACGGGAACTTCAAAATTTTCTGATGTCATCTATAGTACTTACTGGTGATATAGCAGCCTGTCAAATAACTATAAAGAATAATTGTGAACTTTTTATTTCCATCAATATAGACCCGAGTATAAACCTCAATTACTTGCTCAATCATCATTAAGATCACTACAGCACATCAATGTCGAAAATACCTAGGAATTCGATCATTTTGTTTCCTAATCACGAATTATCGTGGGTAATATCTCGAGACCATGACAAATAGCCGACTATTATTTTCTTCTTAATTCTATCGAGATTAACTTGTATTTTGACAATTTGATGAGACTATATGAACCTCGATATGAACATTAATAATCTGAGATATTCTATGATTATTTATGTTCATATGGTCGAATTGAATTGTCCCAGAATACAAGTTACTCGAGATGATTCAAAGATAATAATAGTCTCCATGATATTCAGGAAGATTATTTCATGAACAGTGTAACAGTGGTTTATACTCGGGTTTATATGAGTTTCAACCTCGGTTTCAACATTTTATTCAAGTTACAATTCTGCAGATACTATTTGAATAAAAATCGTTCTGAAGGCCGTCTGGGGTATTCCCATCATATCTACGTACAATTGTAGTCAAGAAGTCTGAAGTTAGAGCAAAGAAAGAATATTAGCTTCTGTACTTTCCTTTCTTGTTTGAGGAAAATATCGCATGCTTTGCCTTTTTGCATTTTGCGCAACCCTGGCACCTTTGAATTCGATATATTCAAATGGATTTGTCTTACGTTTATGTTCATTGAAGTAACTTTCCTGTATATAGTTTTCCATATCAATTTCAACTGTGTATTCCTAATATTCCTCACCATTTTCCTCACCCAATCTCGAGCCCAATCTTTAAGGATTTGGCGAGGGATTTGGGCAATCACGAGAGATGGGGAAGTCCTCGGGGAAGTCGCACAAAATTCATAGTTTTTCTGCTGGCAAAAAAAACATGAATTGTTCCAGACAGACTCTTTACTCTCCTTGTTATTTTCTGATATCGATTCGCTTACATAATTACGAATTTACGTAGTGGAAAACGAGACATTTCAATTTTTGAGTGACTGATAGGTATGTCAAAGTTTGACAACCATAGCACTCTTATGCTGGCGAACAGAATAGCCGCTCATATTGTTTGTTTACCTATAAATAGCCGCTGATATCGCATATCATGTTTCTTCAATCATGTCATTTCATAGGTCCAGCCGGGCGTGAATGAAATAATCATCAATATCATCTTTAGGTTCCTAACAGTCTTATTCTTGCTTAACTATACTGAATTATTATATTAATACCTATATCAATATCGAGAACTATGTTATGTGTTATCATAAGATCGACATATCAATTAGATGGGTGGGTCGGTAGGTGCCCATATATATTCAAGTTGGTAATATCAACAGTGTCATCAATAAAAAACGAGAGAAAAAACGATGAAAACAATGCGATCTGAATAGGTCCTTACCTTTTTTCCATCTCGAAACTTAACAGTTCCTTCTATAACACAGCTGTTATCAACCATTATCTTGATAAAGGGAATGAATCACATGCCAATATTCCTTCAAAAAGAGAACAAACAACACTCAGCACACTGTCCACAACACACGCGAAATATTACGAGTCAGGTTTTTCGATCTCTAGGTAGTTCAGTTAGCCAAAGTGACAGTTAGTCGAATCAAAACAAATTCGACCAATGACAGCGTTCTTCTCCAATGCAAATGTTGGGGCAGGTTTCAACGCAGTTTCAACCAGCTATTGAAAAACCTGCTTCGGCCGAATTCGCGAATTTCTGACTAGATCTAGTGAGCCGCGTACGTAATTTGGTCGACGGCGAAGACGAAACGACCGTCACTTGTTCAAGTTTTGGCGGTTGGCGCGCGACTGACACAGCTGGCTAGATTACGGGACGGTTCCTGCGCGTTAGCTCGAGAATTCGCGAGTGAAATGTTGCCGGGATTTCGTCTAAATGTCAAATGATATTCGCAACTGCTCATTCTTTATTAATTTTATTTATTTGGTGAAACTGGATTCATCATGCGATGGTTTTTTTTTCCGAAAAATGTTTTTGGTACTTACGTACTTTTGCCTGAAAAACACGAATTTGAAAATGAAAATGTGAACAACTGTGCCCACAGGAGATGCCTCTGAGACCATAAATATTGCCGATTGGAATTTGTTGGGCCAGGTTGCGCTTAGCCGGCGGTCTTTGGACTGCTGGCTGGCTGGCTGGAAAGTATCCTGTACTGATGAGAGTCAAAAAAGTTTGAAACCGGTATGTAGGTGTCGTAGTGTCAACCTAGCCAAATCGAAAACAATCGGCTTTATGGAAAGAAACACTTGCATTTTAATATTCGTTTATACGTATCGATGCTTAGATTTCGGGAGGATGTAATACACAATGTCCTGCATGGCATCATCGTTGTTTTTCATGCAAAATGAACATAATGTGGAAATGACTTTGAGTTTCCTGTATTCATTTGAACTTTGATTATTTGTCAGTAGATAGTCGGACGTAAGCATCAGGCATCAGAATGGTTAGACGTATCGATCTTGTTGTTGCTTTTTTTTTGTAGCAGGCCGTATATTTACGATTTCAGGAATCAAAGTCGTATTTAGGAGAGTTTGTTTTATGATTGAAAACTATCGATGCACCCAGTGGCGTAATTAAGATTCATTCCTGGAAAGGGTCTAGGTCGTTACCACCGATAAAACAAGGCCTGCATGCTCCGTGGGTGACGTCACTTAGTCAGGCCTAACCAGCGGCTCGAAACGACAAGCGTTTATAGCGCTATAAGGCGACCGCGTATTTCGATTTTAGTTTTAGATCATTATTAAGCCGATTTTGCTTTTTTTTGAAGGGCTTCCGGTTGAAAGAGGATGCCAGCCGTCAACTGACCCTTCTTCGCATCCCATTCGATTTTATTATGGAAAAACGAAGTTTCAAAGCAAAAACCAGAATGAAACACAAATACCCACCTACAGCAACCCATTCGAATTAAATTGGCAAAAATTGTAGTCATTCAATCTCATTAGAGGTAAACTTCACACCTACTCATACAGGGCCCGCAGAACATAAACTTATCATGAGATTGACCGAAAGAAAATTGGGGAAGATGTATTTTAGTTTGATAGACATGCCGTTTGTTATACCTAATTACCTATATTTATCTTGGAGAATTCCTATTACCTAAAAATTAGCCAGTGAGTGTTTTCAATTTCCTGTTGTTGGATTTTTTACAAAATTGGTCGTTAGACTTGAAACAGTAATTTTTAAGTCGAGTGTTTGTAGTACATGTTAATATAATAGTTGCAATTTGATCATTGGAATGAATTCTGCATTCGTTGCCACGAGGCAAATGTCCGTTTTCAGAAAGAAATTTGAGAATGTATTGAGTCAGAAACCAAAGAGTCCAATGCATTCGAAATATGTCTCAAAACCCTCTTTTTCTGATTATCAAGACATTTTCCCGAATTATGTATCTCGTTTTTATCTATTTCAATTAGTAATTCCTTGATTTGATTGATATTATTAGAGATGAAAGGTGTTTTCAGATTGGCTTTTAGAGATGTTTGTATCGCTAGGTCATACAAAAATGATTGCACATTCAAAAGAAAATCAATCACAACCGAATATGTAATTACGGGCCCTGGAGAATAAGACAATTTGAATAATGTGACTTTTTGCAAATCGATAATTTTGAACCACTTTTCGGGCAACTGAAAAGACTCTAATACAACTAGAAATTCTTGAAATTCTGTGTAGCAAAATGATTTTTGGTAATTTTCGAATTCAGTTTTACTTTTGGTAAGTGCTTGTGCCAAATTTTTAGTCTCTAGTATCTCAAGTTTTTCATCACGACTTGTGCGTAATTTTACATCTTTCGATAAATAAGATGGACAGTTGGGAAATTGAGTGGGAATAACATCTCGTTTGAGCCTAGTAATTTTCAAATCTATTGTTACAGTTTTGCCAGTTTTTGAATCGGTTGCAGTAGATGAAGTAATAATATCATCTTTAGTAAAATGTAATTCACATACTTTACTGTACTTAGATGGAGTCGTAAAATCCTTGCGGTGAATTGCATGTACCCACTTTCGATAGTTCCTTGTCCAACGGGAAACTAAAAGCATGAACTTTTGGACCACCCACATAATTCCCCCGACAAAAGGGAACACAACACTTGTAAGGCATTGTTATTTCGCCTATCACAACACGAAATATTTCACAAAACAGTAATTTCTCCGCCAATTATTTCGATGAATAAACAAAAACAAGAGAATTCGAGGCACACGCGATTTACCTACGCCACAAAAAACTGACGATAGATCGACGCGAATGCCTTGGAAGATGGCCTGAGTATGCGACGTCACGAGCTGTTTACGTCAGAGTCTGCTGGCCTTGTTTTATCGGTGGTAACGTCTAGGTCCAATATCCAATATTTAAGAAAAAGAAAAGCAAAACTTAACTTACGTAGGTTTCAATAAATGTGTGCATCATTTGGAACCAATACCAAAATAAAGAAAAAATATCGAAAAATAATCGAATATTATCACATATGAATTAACACTTCAGAAATGTGAAGAAAGGGGAACGTCCAAGCTTAGTGCTTGCTTCAATACAGATTTCATTGTGATTTTAATTGGTTGTTTCCACACTGTCAAAAGGTCAAATAGAACTCTCAGGCGAACAAAAGATGAGAAAAAAAAAGATACGGCCACCTTTTCTTCATCTCTTGGAGCGTACTTGAGGGATTCCCTATAATGTTTCGGGAACATTGTGAGTACCTATTAGGGAGGATAGGGGGAGGGGGTAGGTATTGGGGTTTTTCTCAACTTTTTGGGATTATTAGTTCTTGGGAATGCTCTGTTTAGCAAAGAATTCTAAAGCTTTGCCATTGAATGTATACACGAGTTTTGGTAAAGAGTTGTTCGACATATGTCGAGGTTGACGACAACAAGGTGTGCTGACTGGGCTTGTCGAGTACGTCTCAGGGATGGGAATTGAAATAATGAGATTGCTGCATGATGATTCCTACTCAAATCGCGTGGAATTTATAGAAAATGATCAAATTATTGAGATGCTAGATTAGGTAGTCAGGCAAGAATGAAAAAATGTGCCAGAGCAGATAATTGCGAGTGAACAATCCAGTTTTTCTGACAATTAATTTGAACATGTCCCATTTTTCCCTTGAATCTTTGGACTTATGTTTTGTTTTCGATGATTTTTCCATTCAAATATGATTTTTATTTTTGGTTGTTCAATTCAATTGCTCATTATACTCCATCGAATTAATCCAGCTGGCTTGATTTCAGTTTCCTTCAATTTCCAAAAAGTAAGGAGGTTTTAAACTTTGAAATGCGTTTTTCTTGAAACTTACTTTCTGTGACATTTCCCCTGTTTCCCCTGTGGTCTTCAAATGGTTGAGTTCAATTCACTACGTGCAGAACTTTTAAATCTTACTATGGTCTCTTTGAGAAATACATCTTGAATGCGATGAATAAAAGGATCGACCTGTCCGACCGATCATGATGAATCTGTGAATGTGAAGTTTTTTCAATAGGGTATAAATCTCTCCAAAATAAGTTGCTTGGGAAAAAATTGCTCACATAAAATATCCAAGATATCGGAGGTATATGTACAGGTATTCATAGGTTTGAAGAGTGCTCCAACTATGAAACATTTTGTTTAAATTCTCCCAAAATAACGCAAAAAGCCGATATTTGTCCAGCATAAAAACCCTATACAGTTGCATTATTTCATCAGAAAAATTAATCAAAAACCTCTTTCCACGTTTTCAGCCGATTCATTTTCGTTTTTGAGAATTTTTTTTTATCATATTTCCTCTGATGAATCGTAGATTAATAGAATCAAAATTTCAATGTCCTCAAAATGCCTGTACCTCCGTTATCTAACATTTAATTTGGCGATGTACATATCCTGTTGAAGAAAGAACCTAACCTTCAGATTCACCTTTGTCCTAATCCACAGTAGTTATGTTTTTATTATTTTTGATGAATCATCTCAACGTCTCATTTGTTCTTCAGAAGCTACTGTTACAACAAAACATTTCGACGGTCATCTCACGTAGTGACGTATCTCAGTTTTCGCTTATATCTCAGAGGTTAGTTCGTGAAAGATCATTCTTGTCTCATTCATTAGTGGAAGAACTAAAACTGGTTGTTATATGGTATGGTGAGATTTCCAAAAACCATCGTTCGAAGCGAAAAGAAAAAGTTTGTTAGATACGTCACTACGTGAGATCATGTTTGTTATTGTAGTCTCAGATACGCTCAAGAATATGAAGTTAAATCAAATGAATAACATATCCAAACATTCATTTTTATTGAGAAAAACACAAAAATTCATTCGACTTGTACAATACCTTACAATACTCCTTTCAGTACCTTGAGACGTCACCCGAGATATTTTAAATTCCTCCGAAATTTTCAACAAATAATAAAAATATATCTCACGTGATGACGTAACTCCGATAGTTAGGTCACTTCGTGAGATTTGGTAGTTCAATAATTTGAGATAGGCTGAGTATTCGATATTTAAACAGACGAAAACCATTGAATATTGAGTTACGCCACTTTGTGCGATCATAGAGTAGAAGAATATGAGTCACTTGACGGAGTATCTCAAATTCCGATTTTTATGAGATACGTCATTACGTGAAAATTGTGTATATCATGAAGAATGGCTGAAAGAATAACTGGACT